AAAAATAGCCGGGGGTTGTGGCGGGCACCTGTGGTCCCAGTTACTTGGGAGGCTGAGGCAGGAGACTCACTTGAGCCTAGGGGTTGGAGGTTGCTGTGAGCTGTGATCCCACAACACTCTACCCAGGGGGATAGCTTGAGGCTCTATCTCAAAAAAAAAAAAAGAAAAATTGCCCAGCATTTTGGTGGGCACCTGTAGTCCCAGCTGCTTGGGAAGATGAGGCAAGAGAATTGCTTAAGCCCAAGATTTTGAGGTTGCTGTGAGCTGTGATGCCACAGCCCTCTACCCTAGGCAACAGCTTGAGACACTGTCTCAAAAAAAATAAAAAATTCATGGTATTTAGATATGGTACGTTTGGCATTGATCATAACATAATCATCTAAATAAATTTATTTCAATTATGCTTCATCAAAAAATTTACCTCTGAAGTACTGAATTCTTATCTCATGGCACACAAAAAGGTACACAAATCAGTACAATGTAGTATCTTGCATTTAAAAGAACATGTATGAGCAAAGCATTTAACCATCATCTACAGTACATATTAAATACATTTATTACACTTTATTTAAAAATGTCTACTGAAAATTTGACATTATTCTCAAAAAAAGGCACATGGAAAATAAGTCATATTTTAAGCATTTTCACATAAGTAAAAATAGAACAGAGACTCCTTCAAAATGAAATAATACCAAGTTGATTTCTCATCATACAAAAAGAAAAGTACTTGATTTGACTATTTTAAGAAATCTGGCATTTGTTAGAAATGAGTTTCATTGACTTTTTTAGGATGATGTGATAAGTTATAATACCTAACTTGCAACAACATATCCATTTAAATTCATATGGATAAGAGAATGATACGAAGGTGTTAAAATAATCTATCCATTATCCGAAATTCTAATGCATTGGACAAAATAATCTTTTGACTCAGTACATTTTTCAAATTTAATAATTTCTATAGAATCAAGTATATGTTTTAAAAATAAAATCACTCTTCTCTATGCGTTCCCAGTATTACATTTTATAGGTAAAAATTCATGGCCCCGAACAGTTCTATATGGTATATAGGATATCTGGTGGCTTCAGTAGATAAACATTCCTCAGTATCCAACAGGGATTGGTGCCAAGACACACACCCTCACAGATACTCAAGTGCCTTATATAAAATGATATACTATCTGCACATAACCTATGCCCATCCTCCAATATAATTTAAATTATCTCTAGATTACTTATATACCTAATATAGTGTCAATGTTATGTAAATGATTGTTATATTGCATTTTTTAAATCTGCATTGTTTTTACTGTTATATTTTTATTTAACGTCCCCCCTGCCAAATATTTTCAACCTTCAGTTAGTTGACTCCTCAGATGTGGAACCTGCAGATAAAGGTCCAACCGTATACTCTGCTGGTACTAATAATAGCAGAATTTCCCCCATAAGGGAATGCCCCTAAGTGAAACTTGTCCTCAGCAAAAACTGCTAATACTAGTTGGTAAGTAGTACTCAAACTCCAGTCTCAATGCTAAAAATAAAAAAGGAGGGGAGAGTTACCTCTGAATTTCCCTAAGATACTCTGCAAGATAATAAATAGCCTCCAAGAACTTCTTTATACAAGAATTCTCATAAATTATATTATGCTAATCATACTTATATAGGGGAAGTGGTTTGACAATGGAGCAGAATTACATGAATTTAAACTTTTGCAAATTAAAATTAAACAAGATTGACTCAAAAAAAACTGGTACAATAAAGTCATTACAAGAAGTATACTTCTGGTATTCAAAAAATATGTGAAAAAGGGGGTTTTACAAAAAATGTAAAAATAGGCTTCTTATTCTACAAAGCCCCTAAATGCTAACGAATTGTATCACCTGTCACAATCAAAGAAACACCAATCTTGAACAATGCTGGAAAAAATATGGTTATGCTAGATTATGTTAATGCTATTTTATGGGCAGCAAAGGAATGTTCAAGGGCCTTTTTTTTTTTTTGAGACAGAGCCTCAAGCTGTCACCCTGGTAGAGTGCTGTGGCATCACAACTCACAGCAACCTCCAACTCCTGGGCTCAAGCAAGTCTCCTGCCTCCACCTCCCAAGTAGCTGGGACCGCAGGCGCCCGCCACGATGCCTGGCTATTTTTTTGGTTGCAGCCGTCATTGTTTGGCGGGCCGGGCTGGATTCAAACCCACCACCTTAGGTGTATGTGGCTGGCACCTTAGCCACTTAAGCCACAGGCGCCAAGCCTCAAGGGCCATTTTGTGTATAATTTTACCTTCCACATTGAAGGTAAAAAAAAAAAAAAGTGCAAGACACATGCTGCACTTTTTGAGACACAGGTTCTTTTCTAGAAACACCTCATGAAATTAAAGTTCCACAGAACACACTTGGGAAAATTCAAATTGAGCATGCAAAGTTAACATTCAGATTGTAAATTCCTTATCAATTCTTTGTAGCATGCTGTAACTGTAATATGAATTACATTCCATTCAGTAATTTGCTTTCAATAATTTGACAAAATCTTTGCAAAGATGTATTTACTGGAAGAATTATATTGTAAAAACATCTCAAATTAGAAATTACAAGATTCATTAGACCCAAGGAAAATTCACAGAAGACATGATAAAAACTGTCAAAAAGATACATGTTGTATCAAGTTACATATTCAAGACACTTTTTTTTTTTTTTTCTTTTGAGACAGAGCCTCAAGTTGTCCCCCTGGGTAGAGTGCCGTGGCATTACAGCTCACAGCAACCTCCAACTCCTGGGCTCAAGCGAGTCTCCTGCCTCCGCCTCCCAAGTAGCTGGGACCACAGGCGCCCACCACAACGCCCGGCTATTTTTTGGTTGCAGCCGTCGTTGTTTGGCGGGTCCAGGCTGGGGATTCGAACCCGCCACCTTAGGTGTACGTGGCTGGCGCCTTAGCCGGTTGAGCTATAGGCGCCGAGCCTCAAGACACTTTTATAACAAAAAAATTTAACTCTAATGCCAGGTATAAAATGCCTTCTTTTAGAAGATAAGGAATCAACATGCTAAAATAGTACCATACAAGTTCATTTCTTGTTTTTTTTTTCTATAGCTATAACCTAAATTTCTGATTTAATTTCCTCTCACTACAATGCCTACCCCAACTGCCACTTTTTCTAAGTCACAGCTCTAATCATATTATTCCCCTCATCCAAAGACTTCAATGTCTTCTCATTGTACATTCAGTTAAATCTGACTCCCTAAAAAGTGTAATAATATTTAACATAATCCAAAATCTGATATAAACCACCATCCAATCTAATGTCCCTCACTTCACCTTCAACCTCTCTTCAACAAAAATTTTGAAGAATCTAGTATGATTTATGCCCCAAGCCTTGTTCTAGTACTTGATTTCATCGGTTCTCAAATTTGAGCTTGCATCAGAACCTCTAGAGCAGTGGTTTTCAACCTTTCTAATGCCACGGCCCTTTAATACAGTTCCAAAGGGGTTGTGACCCACAGGTTAAGAACTACTGCTGCAAAGGGCTTATTAAAACAGACTGCCAGACCCCACCCCGAGAGTTCCAAATTCAGTTGGAATGAGTTTACATTTATAACAAGATCTCAAGTGATGCTGATACTGCTGATCAAGACCGACACTTGAAGACCATTTGCTCTACTCCAAAGGCCAGAAACTGGAAGCTCAATGGCTCAGGAAGGCCCACTCGCATGTTGTCTGTATAGTATTTTTAAAGCATTAAGAATTATTTGCAAACATTTCAAAATCATAAAATTTCACATTAAAAAATGCAGATTTCTGGCTTATCCTGCAAGTAAAAATTCTGCTAAAACTAAACAGCAGCTACACAGTTTAGCCCAGGGAGACATCCTCCCTAGTCCAAGTTACTATACCACAAATTGGCTCTATATTGTCACTTAAAATAACTAGTTTAGCATTTGTGCTTACACACCCTGATCCACTTTGTCCCATTCTCTAAGTTTATCAGCCACTCACTCTGACTTCAAACATCCCTTCTCCCCTGTACTGCTGAAATTCTAATTACTCCATTCTAAAGGTTGGCTTAAAAATCCTTTCTCAAAACAAATGCTAAAAACACAGCAAAAAATAGAAATCCTTAAATAATACACATATTAAAGATTTAACATAAATTCAATATGTGTTTTAAGAGTCAAGGTTTTATTTATTTCCACAAATATTAAAATAATATTTACAAAAAACAAAGACTATAGATTATATCATAAATTACAAACATGATTTCTTTGCTATTTTTATTTTAAACAAAATTATAATTTTGCTCATTCTGCTTTTTACTTTGAAAGAAATCTTTTTCAAAAGAAGACATTTATAATGAATTAAGACATAGGTTTAAATCAGACAGCCAAAATATAATAGCTTTAATAGAATACCTTATTTTGCCAGACAAAAAAGATAGAAGTAATTCAATTCCCCTGACCTTCATAAGCTAACAATCTTTAAAAGCAGTGTTAATGAAATAAATGTTTATCTAGAGGATATTTTAGTGGATTTTCACCTCTACAAATTAGCAGGGGGGGTTGAAGGGGAGTTATACACAAAGAAAAACTGAGTGCCAGTCCTTACTCATCACAAATAGCTTTACCTTAATTAAGTCACTGACTTCTTCCTGACCTCAGTTTACCTCTAAATTGAAGAGATAGAAAAAAGTATTCTCCAAATATCTCTAAAATCCCAGAAATTATTCCTTCAACAGATGAAAGCATAAAAAACAATGTCATACAGATAAGCTTCCTATTATTAGGTTATATTAGGTTAGTATAGTTTCTAAATTAAACTGACTAAACAATCTTAACTACAGCTTTTAGTTCTAACTAAAAACGTTCAAGACTCAGAACTTTAAAATACACATACATGTTTTTATACCTATTTGTATACAGTTTAATGATCAAAATAAAATATCTTTTGTAAGTCCAACAACTAAATTTCTTAGAAGAAAAATGAGAGAAAACAATGAAAACTATAACCATGGCAACTAATCAGTAAATTTTAATGTCTCAAAAGAAAATTAAATAATTAGAAAATCAGGTCAAAAAAGTTTTTCCATTATAGAGACTAATACTTTTCAAGGATATATATCCTGTACTTTAAGGATATATATCCTTTTCAGAATATTCCCAAATTAAAGAAATTTGGCCAAAATTAAAATTATCAAATTACAAAATTGAAAAAAATCTTATAGACTATTATATTCAGGTAGATCATGCCGTAAGCAAATTGCTTTCAGCTTCTCCACTTCTATTTTTGCTCTTAGTAGCTCTTCCTCTAGCTGCTGCCTTCTTTTCAATCCGTCCCTCTTCTCCTGAACATATAATCCAAAGTTTTTTTGGTTTTCTAAAATTATCTGATGCTCCTCTTTCAACATTTGCAGGATCTGAGGATCATACCCTAATAGTGACCTAAAATGTTCTCCACTCTCATGCCGAAAAATACCATCTCTCCTTGGAATAGAAGATGGAGACGATGTCATTCTCATATCAACAGAAGAAAGTGAAGGTGATAAGGATGTTTCCATAACATGTACTAAGTCATGTTCTTCTCTTTGCTCTAAAGTATCACTCTGTTGAGAATTTAAAACCAGTGGAAGAGGTGGTTTAATGTCTTCTTCTTGCTTCACCTCCACTGTAATAGCAACAGGATGGTGATCCAACATTACCTGTAGTGAACTGGTACCAGCCTGTGCCTCTGCATCCAAGTTTGCACTATAGCACACAAAAAAGCATTATAAAATGTAAATCAAATGAAGACAAGAATATATTTATAGCATAATTTCCCATTTAATATACATTAAATTATAAAGCTTTAAACTTGTAAAGAAAAATCATGAAATAAAAAAGATTTTAACATTTAGAATAACAAATTAAAGTTGCCAAAATTGTGATTGCAATAATATAGACACGCTAGGTCTCTCCTAGCACCCCACATCCTTAACTTTAAAATTGGGCTTTTCTTTTTCTTGAGACAGGGTCTCACTCTTGCCAAGGCTGGAGTACAATGGTGTGATCATAGTTCACTACAGCCTCAATCTCCTGGGCTCAAGCAAACCTCCTACCTTGGTCTCCTAAATGCCAGAATTACAGGCATGAGCCACCATGTAGGCCAAACTTGAGCTTTTAAAAGGGGAGGAAACTACAAATATTATACAAAGTCAGTAAAGAAAATAAAAAAGAAAAGCCATTTATAAAGCTCTCAAAGAGGAAACAACTGCTCTTGCTTCACAAATGGTGCAAAGAGCCATTTAATACATTCTCAGCCTTGTTACAGTCAGTCATACCTTAGCCCTAGAACTCCTGCTTCTGCTCTCCTGGACTGATCTAAAAAAATCACCAAGTCACAATTCTTCTAGGACGACAGTGGAAGACCATCTATGAGAGGTTATGATTTCTGCATTTGTCCAAATAAAAAACAGATTTTGTATGGCTTTGTGATATGCCTAACTATAAAGGATTATCCTAACTATCATATTTCAGATGCGATGGCATTCCCTCTTTACACCTATCCCGAACCACACAACTCAGTTGTTCTCTGTGAGTCTTTCAACCATTGGTCAGGTAAAGTTCATAAAACCAAGGATTTTTCTCTACCACTATGTATCTAATACCTAGCATAATACTGTATTTGAAACCTATAAAGTAGATACAATTGCTCATCGTATGCTGAATGATAGAACAAATGAGGCTCAGCGCCTGTGGCTCAAGTGGCTAAGGTGCCAGCCACATACACCTAAGGTGGCAGGTTCAGATCTAGCCCAGGCCCACCAAACAACAATGATGGCTGCAACCAAAAAAAAAAAAAAAAATAGCCAGGTGTTGTGGGTGCCTGTGGTCCCAGCTACTTGGGAAGCGGAGGCAGGAGACTCACCTGAGCCCAGGAGTTAGAGGTTGCTGTGAGCTGTGATGTCACAGCACTCTACCCAGGGGGACAGTTTGAGGCTCTGTCTCAAAAAAAAGAACAAATGAAATAATTTTTTCATTTTTTTTAATGTTTTTAAATGACATAGATATACTGAAGATTTATTAAATTACACATAAGTTCCATAAAATATGGATTCATAGGGGCAACTACAATTTTAGCATAATTTAACTTTGAAATAATATTTGATATGACATTATAAATGTAATGTACCTGAAAATTTTATTTAAAAAATAATTCCATGTAAGCTGGGCATAGTGGCTCACACCTGAAATCCCAGCACTTTGGTAGGCTGAGGCAGGTAAATGGGGGAGCTCAGGGGTTCGAGACCAGCCAAAGCAAGAGTGAGACCCCATCTCTACTAAAAACAGAAAAACTAGCCAGACACCTTGGCAGATGCCTATAGTCCCAGCTACTTAGGAGGTTGAGGCAGGAAGATCTCTTGAGCCCAAGAGTTTGAGGTTGTCATGAGCTATGATACCATGTCACTCTACCCAGGGTGAAAGCATAAGATTCTGTCTCAGAAAAATGGATAGGATAGAATAGAATAGAATAATTAATTTTATGTATACTATGAAGCTATTTTTAAAAAATAATTTCATGTATTACATGAAGAATACACAATCTTGTTTCTTGAGTATCTTAATTATGCTTAAGTTTTAGAGGAGAAAGAGATTATTGGAACATTAATGGCAGTATTTGACATTATTTAGGGGACAGTTTACAAATGATAAGTAAGTAACATAGTTTAAAAAATACATTCCATACATAACGATTAAAACACCAGCAAGTTAAGTTCAAGTGGAACATATGGGAAAAAAATTGAATCTCTTCATATATCACTTAACCAATGGCCTAAAATTATAGATATTTATCATAGAGATAAAGGAAAACTCATACATATTATATATAATGAAAAACTTATTTAAAGATTATATAAATTCCTTCATTTTTGTTTTTGTCCTTTTTTGTCATTTTATGATTTCCAAAAACAAAACAATGGATTATAAATATATTTCAAATTAGCAAGATCTGTTTCTGTTAATATCTCTGCTAAAACCTGGAATGGGAAAGGTAAAACTACATATGAAAATTAAGCTTTTAAAATATACATAATTACTATTCAAATTAGTATGTGTAAAAGAATGCAAACATAAACATTATATTCCCAAGTAAATTTAAAATATGTCTTACACCTGAACTATTCCATTCCATTTTAGTTAAAACATTTTAAGTAAGGCATAATAAAGTTTAAAAAACAAAAGCCTTGACTCAGCGCCTGTAGCTCAGCGGCTGGGATGCCAGCCACATACACCAAGGGTGGTGGGTTCGAATCCAGCCCGGACCTGCTCAACAACAATGACAACAACCAAAAAATAGCCAGCTTTACTGTAGGTGCCTATAGTCCCAGCTACTTGGGAGGCTGAGGCAAGAGAAGCACTTAAGCCCAAGAGTTTGAGGTTGCTGTGAGCTGTGACGCCACAGCACTCTACTGAGAGCAACATAGTGAGACTTTGTCTCAAAAAAAAAGCCTTAGAGAAAAATCACAAAAATGATCAAGAGAAGGACTTTTAAAATTTGAGCCTGACCTTTGAGGATCAAATAGTTTACAAAAACACAAAGTATATCTTCTTAGCTTTGGCCTTGCCAAGAAAGAAAAAAAAATTACACACACAAAGTATAATATGGTATTAGGGAAAGGCAAAAAAAAAATAAATCAATGTGAGTTGTAGAAATAAATAGCATTACAAAATAGGTGTATATTTTAAAATATTTAAATAATACAAACAGTAATATTTTCCTTATTAAGAAGAGTTTGTTGAGGGTGGTGCCTGTGGCTCAGTGGGTAGGGTGCCAGCCACATATACCAAGGGTGGCAGGTTCAAACCTGGCCCCAGACAAACTGCAACAAAAAAATAGCTGGGCCTTGTGGCGGGCACCTGTAGTCCTAGCTACTCCGGGGGCTGAGGCAAGAGAATCACCTAAGCCCAGGAGTTGAGGTTGCTGTAAGCTGTGTGACGCCATGGTACTCTACCGAGGGCGATAAAGTGAGACTCTGTCTTAAAAAAAAAAAAAAAAAAGATTATGATAATTATAAACTTTTGAGATAATTATGAAGACTCAAGATGTCATTCAAATAAATAGAAGCACATTAAATATATAAATATGTTAAACTAAAATATAGAAAATGTCAGCACAGACACACTAACATAGGAATTTAAATGACATGGTTCTAGCATTCTTTCTTTTAAAATCAAAAGAACTGGTATGATTTTCAAAGTAGGTATGGAAAGGCATAAATCAATTAACTAATTTTTATTAGGAAAATGTTGGTATCCCAAAGACTTTGTGTATGTGTATGTTATATGTATATGCATACAAATGGTAAAAATGCAAACATTTGTTTATTTATGTATTGCTTCTCCTCTATATTCACTGTATTTTTAAAATATGCAACTAAAATTATAGTTTCTATGTGTAGTTTTCAAATTATAAAAAACTACATTTAATACCTAAAAGGTATAGTCTTATACCTATAAAGCAAAAAAACATTTTTCTCTATGGTTCAGAAGGGAGAAAATTCTGAAAAAGTAGCACAACAGATAACAATTTTACAATGGAGCCTCTTTGGCCATCCAGCACACTGGGATGTCATCATTTGTCATTACAGTGAACATTTTAACTAGTGGCCCCAAGAATTAATCCACTGTGTATCCATGTCCTGGATTCCGACTGGTAATATTTTTTTCTATGCTAACAAATAGAAATAAACAGTATATGGCAAGAAGATAGGCTCAAAATTTTTTTCCTAGTAAATTACCAAAATAAGAGATATTCTTGGCTAAAAATTTTTTGCCCTACTTCTCTCCAAATTTCAAAGGGATTTTACAGGTAATCAATAATATGTTTATATATCCACCAATAGAAAAGTACATACACTGTATAAAAGCTTTGTTTGAAAAGCCTCTTAACAAGGAGTTTATAATTTGCTTAAATTACCCTAAATGGTTCAGAAGAAGAATGTAGCTGCCATTTTTACCTTTTGCCAAGGATTATAATTTGAATTTGTAGCAAGATAATCGTTTTGAAGATTCCCAGGTCAATAGTAATACAGAGCACAAATTTAACCAAAAAATTGTTTCTGACCATAAAAGAAACCAGTTGCTCTACAGGTTTATTAAAATTCAGAGTTTCATATCCTTGCAAAGCAGTAAGAGAAAGCTTACTCTTTTCTGTGTGGCTCAAGATCAAAGTGAAACTAGAGCATTATTAAAAAAAAAAACAACAATATAAACTTTTAATTTTATTAAGAATTCTGAATCCTTAACTAAACATTAATCCCCTTTAGCTATGTTCAACTCATTTCAAATCTTCCAGAAAAAATTTAAACTGTTTTCATATACACAGTCATGTCATTAATAAGTTTACTCATTGATTTCTGTTCTATTTGTTAGTTCAATGCATGTTCAGTAAGTGTAGACAGAGACAACTGAGTGCAGACACTGACAATTCATTAAAAACCAAAGGTTCTATTTCTCTGCAAACTGCTAACTTTATAAAATTTTATATAAAATTAAAAATGCCAATGAGATGTAATCTTAAATTTTAAAAAAGTACCTCTCAAAAGCAAATTAAATAACTTAATTTTAAGGCTTAAAAAGTTTATGAAGTGATGTCACAAATTTCATGCCTCCTTAACCTTTACTTTTAGAAACTACGGGGGGAGGGGGAGGGGAAGACAGTTTTAAAATAGTAGCTTAAATGCAGCAGAAAAATTCCTTATAACCTCACCTTTTTTTTTTAAGAATGCAAAACAAAGACACTATTCATTGCCCCCCCTTGTGAGGATGCTTACCATGCATATCTCTATCACAACTAAGCCAAAACTCAATAGATAGGAGGCGCCATAATTTTCCACAACAAAATAAAATAAAGCTTACCTTTGTATGTGGTTCCTGTCTCTTACCAGGCAAAAACTGGAAATCTGGGGTATCATCTCCATAACTTTCTTGGTTGGCTCAGAAATATTGCTTTTAAAATCTGATTGGGTCTCTTTTTGCTGCAATAGCTCCTGTTTGGCATATTCTTTGAGCCTTTTGTAAAGGGTGCGTAGGCCCTGCGCTGTTCGAGAAGGGCGGTCTACTCCAATTGCATTATAGTTAACTGCTATGATATCCCAACATCTATTCTTTTCCACTATTACTGAATGTTTATTGGTATGTTCTTCGAGAATTTTCACATATGGCTTCACAAGCTTTAGCAAATCAAGCTTTTCAGATAAGGTAAAATTGGAAGATCTAGCCTTTCCTACCATTGTTCTTTTCAAATTAAGTAGGCAGTTTCTGAAACCACCATGCAGCCTTCAGCTCTGCCCAGCTCTTTTCACAAACAGAAAAAGATCAGGCTTAACTAGGCTAGCCTCATTTAGGCCCACGCCTACAGGGGAGGGTTTATTAAAATTCCTCCAGCTTAAGCTGACGCAGGTTCAGGAAATCTGCTTAAGCCAAGCCTGACCTACATAAAGCTTCACACTGAAGAAGACAGGAAGGCACAAGCAAAACATACTTGTATATAAAGGAAACAGCTCGAGATAGGATTTAATACACAAAGGTCTAGAGATAAACATGGAACACAGCTAAAAATTAGCTAATTGTGAAAATATTGAATTCCCACACATGTATGCCTAGCTGAGAGACTGAAACTGCAGTGCAGTATACTTTAATAAAAACAAAAGAGGAACTGTTCTGTGCTATTGTTTACAAATCTAGTAGATAGAAAACTAAAATATATGGGTAGTGAATATAATAATTCCTAACAGAGCCCTTCATCACAGTTTCTGAGCTGAGTATTCTCCCTTACAAAATCTGCATAATGCTGGTCCTGCTGTCAATCAGGAATTGCATATCCTCTAGCTAGTTAGGTTACACCCAGGCTCAGACTCCACAGTAAAGCTAAGCTTCTCCTTCATTTTACGATCTACATTACTCCCTGCATATTTTTTTCAGTTATTTAAAAAGAAATTTTTGTTGAACACGAAATCAAAAAAGCAGATAAAAATTATATTTTTAAAGCAATAGATTATTCTAGCTATAATGCATGTGACTATGCTAGCCTGCTTTATCACGTACAAAAAAATCACTATTCATGGAGAGAAACAGCATAATCATGTCTTAAGACTCCACACAACAAAATCACATTTGCTATTATAATAGAGCAGGATTTTTTATTTAGCTATGTTCACACAATTCGGACTAGTCTAGCCATTTTCAAGACCACCAGTTTCGGTGCTTACAATGTATTTTCTAATCCCAGTATGAAAATATATGATAAATAATAACATAAGCAAGCAAGCCTATTTTCTCATGATATACATTTCTCCAGATAGGAGAATGAATTATAAGGTACACAAACAGAGTTCAACTCAATCGAACAATTACTAAACACCTAAAAAAATGCCCCCAAGACCTGTGCGAGACCCAAGAAAATCAAAGGTGAATCTATATACAACCTCTTTTTAGGGAACTGTAGTGCCCATAGAAATGCTATAAATTCTCAGTAGCCTTGTTTTTTATTCTTTAAACAAAAGTACACAAATGAAACTTACTGAATTCTCACTATGAGTCTAACAACCAAACTGTGTGACTGAGGCAAGGATCCCAATCAATAGAGGTTATAAGTCAGCTTTAGGGGGTGTCCAAGAAAAACCCAAACCACAGATGCTTCTGCAACTGTTTTTCCTAAGAGGTTTTCTGCAGGTTTAGTATGTATACATTTCCTCAAACAGGGACAAGGTAGGAGGAGGGAGACAGGTAGTAAGGTAAATTGCTACATTCTTTAGTTAGTGCCCAGGAAATCTACATTCTATACCAGATAAGGTGAATGTTTGAAAAGGAAAGGAAGAATCATTTATGCAGACAGCCTCTGGATAGGTGGAATTATGATTCACCTCCTCTGTATCCTGCACCTGAGAAGGTAAGCTTGCAATTATCAGTGTGACATCTAACAGATTTTAGTTTTAGGAGCCAGACCTATACTGCAGACTTAAAGTTACTATTGGCCTGTCCTTGCTATGGAAGGTCAGCAAAGAATTTATTTATTAATGATCTGTGAGGGCAGACTGCCATAAATACAAGAGGTCTTTTACCTTTCCTTGGGGATCCGACTAATGAATGTTAGCAATGGCTATTCATTTGGAAAAGGATGTTACGTGGCTCAGCCTCGAGGTTTGACTTTCCTTTTTACATAAGGAGTTTAGGGGTCTTGAGATTTTATATTTTTCTTTACAAAGTAGACAATGTGCTAGAAACTTTAATGTATAATCTGTCAGACAAAAAGCAAAAGATTGTCAAGCCTTCTATGGAATGCTAGGTATTGTATGCCATACCCTACTCTGATTCTATATTAGTCCTACCTTTTCATTATTTTTTAGTAGTTTTACAGTAAACTGGAGAAAATAGAAATGCAAATGATCTTGTCTATAAACAAGCAAATTAAAAATTGACCAGCCCCCAAAATAACTGGACTACAGGTATTCTAAGTCTTTCTAGCTTTTTCTGAGCTTTTAAAACATTCAAAGAATGTTCAAGGAAAGAAAGAACACAGGATATATGTCAATACTTTATTTAGATACTATTTTTATAACGAATAAAGGTATTGTATTAAGAAATTAAATATTCCAACTTGAGCAAGAGCGAGACCCCATCTCAAAATAGCTGGGTGTTGTGGTGGGTGCCTGTAGTGCACCAAAACAGACAGTGGTTAGGAGTCTAAGGCAAGAGGATGAGGTTGCTGTGAGCTATGACGCTAGCTGGCACTCTATCAAGGGTGACAAGGTAAGACTGTTTCAAAAAAAAAAGAAAGAAAGAAAGAAAAAAGAAAAAAAAGAAATGAAAGCCGTGCCTGTGGCTCAGCAGGTAGAGCACTGGTGCCATATACCGAGGGTGGCACAATCGAACTCAGCCAAACTGCAACAAAAAATAGCCAGGCGCTGTGGCAGGCACCTATGGTCCCAGCTACTTGGGAGGCTATGGCAGAGAATCACCTAAGCCCAGGAATTGGAGTTTACTGTGAACTATGATGCCATAGCACTCTACCAAGGGCGATAAAGTAGGACTCCATCTCTAAAAAAAGGGAAATGAAATACTAAAAAAAAAATGAAAGCACACTCAATCTCACAATCAGGGAAATGCACGTATACAGTAAAAAAGATTTTCATTTATAGATTGACAAATTTTTTAAGATTGGAAATGTCAAGAGTGGATAAGAGAAAAAGTACTCTCCTGCTCCATTGAGGGGGTACAAAATGTGTTCTGAAAATATCTATTAATATGCTACATGAGTAAAAAAATCTAAAATCTTGGTAATTTTACTTCTCAGAATCTAACTTAGGAAAATACTCAAATGTACACAGGTGAAATGAAGTATTTTACATAGTTGCATAGTAGTGGAAACAATCTAAAAGTACATCAGTTAGGGACTAGTTAAAATCATAGAGTACATCCACATTACGGTCTACTCCAAGCAGGATTAAAATGAAAGGAGATTTCTAAATACTAGCATAGAATAAGCTCTAAAACATATGGTAAGCAAAAAGAGCAAGAAAAAAAAAAGAAAAAGAAAAAGAAAATAGAATATACCCAATGATCCGATTATGCTTACCAAGACACCCAAAGTTAGGTCCAGCATGAAAGCTAATGCTTATAATCCAAGTACTTTGGGAGACCAAGACAGGTGGATCAATTAAGGCAAGGAGTTTAAGACCAAAAGATCAGCCTGGGAAACACGAGACCACCTCTCAAAAAAAAAAAAAAAAAAAAAAAAAGTAGCCAGGCATGATGGCACACACCTGTAGCCCCAGCTACTTGGGAGACTGAGGCAGGAGGAAGACTGGAGCTCAGGAGTTTGAGGCAGCTGCAGCGAGCTATGACCACACCACCACACTCCAGCATGGATGACAAAACAAAACTGTCTCCATTAAAAAGAAAAAATACAACCAAAGTTAAATATTTCTGTAGATACAAAATGTATGTATGTCGAAGAGAATGTAAGTCCATACATATTTATGAAAATAGACTCCAAATAGAACCAAACATTGATGTCCACTATAATAGCCATGAGCAACATACAGCTATTTTTCCCCCATCATATCCCCATTTAACTCAGCTACTGAGCATTTTAAATGTGGATAATGAGACTGAGGAAATGAATTTTAAATAGTAATAAATTTAATTTATAAACTAAAGCAGCATAATTTTCCCTTAAAAACAATTTTACTATCTTATTAGAAGTACAATTTACTGGCTCAGTGCCTGTGGCTCAAGTGGCTAAGGCACCAGCTGCATACACCTAAGGTGGTGAATTCGAATCCAGCCCGGGACCGCCAAAAACAACAATGACTGCTGCAACAAAAAAATAGCCGGGCCCTGTGGTGGGCGCCTATGGTCCCAGCTACTTGGAAGGCTAAGGCAGGAGACTCACTTGAGCCCAGGAGTTAGAGGTTGCTGTGAGCTGTGATGCTACAGCACTCAGCTTGAGGGTCAGTCTCAAAAAAAAGAAGAAGAAGAAGTGCAATTTACCTTAATCTTTCTATCACATATGATAATGTCAAAAGATAAAATTAGGCTTAGCGCCCATAGCACAGTAGTTACAGTACCAGCCACATGCACCAAGGCTGGTGGGTTCAAACCTAGCCCAGGCCAGCTAAACAGCAATGACAACTGTAACAAAAAATAGCCGGTTTTTGTGGCGGGTACCTGTAGGTCCAGCTACTTGGAATGGAACTTAGAGAATCACTTAAACCCAAGAGTATGAGGTTCCTGCCAGCTGTGACGCCACAGCACTCTACCGAGAGTGACATAGTAAAACTCTGTCTCAAAAAAAAAAAATCTTAAGTGGCTTTTATTTGAGATTCATGATTTACAGCAGAATTCGTCCTACAAAAATGAATGAAAACTCTCACTGGGCAGTGGCAGAACAACGAGTTTTTGTAAGACAGAAACCAGTGTTAGGCCTAGTTGGTCTAGGCAGCCTAGGCTGAGGTGGAAAAGTGTTAGGCCCAGGCTAAAGTCGAAAAATTTGCCCATTTACTCTGAGCAAATTTCTGGGCTGCAAGCTTTCAAAAAAATGGAGTAAGTCTAGTTCACTCCCAAGATAGATTGATTTCTTGCTTCTAGTTCACTCCCAATTTCTTGCTTGGCTATCTCCCTGGGAAATGGACTGGGAGGTACCAACTGTCCCCTGATTGATCTTTAAAAAAAATACCAGGTGGGGAAAGTATTAAAACAAAGATGTATAACTAACCCCAAAATTCTGCTTCTGTACAATGCTTGTTAACCTACTCAGATG